GCCCGGCACTTTGGTGGCTCCCATCTTCTTTCCCTGGGTGGAGAGGCGGGAGCTGCTCTCTCTGGTCCCAGCCAAAGTGAGTCTGGGGCTCAGCGGTGGAAGGGGGATGTGGATGGGATCCAGCCTGTCACATCTTGACAGGGCTGTAATTGGAAACTTGGGTGATGTACAGTGTGTGAGTGCTTGTGCGCCTGAGCCTCTGTGTCTGTGTGAGCAAATCCATGTGAGTGTGCGTGCGTGTGTAAGTCTGTGTAAAGATGTACATGAGACAGTGTTTTGTATGTTTAAGGGAGTCTGTGTGTGTATCTGCGAATGCATACATGCACGTGTGCCAGTGTATGTATGTGTGAGTTTGTAAGTGTAAATCTCAGTGTGTATGTCTAAGTCTTCGTGAATGTGTGTTTGTATGTGACTGTGTGTCTGTGTGATTATGTATGTCTGTGAGTAAAAGTATAAGTCTAAATGTGTGTATGTCTGGACGAATGTGCGTGTCTATGGCTATGTATCTGTGTGAGTGTCTATTTGAGTTTGTACATAAGTCTGTGTATGTGTGTGTGAGTTTGTGTGTTAGCATAAGTCTGTGTGTGCGTGTGTGTGTGTGCTTGGACATGTGTGTATGGTCTCTGGTGGGGAAGTGGTGGACAGGACTGGAGCTATAGGGCTTTGCATTGAGTATCCAGGAGAGAAGCCGGGTGTTTGGAAGTGCCACTGTCCTTGCCCACAGTCCTGGCCTGAGGGTACTTTCTTCCACTTGATAGCGTGTCTTCTCCTACCAGCTCTTGAGATGGTCTGCTGCTGTAGGCAAGGTTGGACACTTGGGCTTCATGAGATCAACTGCCCTTGGGTCTGCCTTCTCCCCGCCGTGTGACTTTGACCAGCTTCCTAAGCCCAAGTCCTGAGCCTCGGTCTCCTCTTCTGTAAAGTGAAGATAATATCTACCTCCCAGGAGTTGTTAGGACTAAATGAGGAAGGGCTGCAAGATGCCAAGCACATAATTAACATTCAATAAATAGTCGCTGTTGTAATTATTTATTATTAGTCCAGCTGGCTTTACCTGGAAGGCTTCTCATCCCTCCCTTTCCCCCACGTCTCCTAAAGTACCACTAGACATGCCTCTTTTGGCATTTTAGTGTGTGCCTCATTAGTTAGCTATCTCATGTCCAGACTAGAATAGGTTGCTTGTATTTCTACTGCCATGTCCTCCCTTGCCTCAGCACCCAGGACAGAGCCCACCTCAAAGGCGGGACTTGAGATGAGGAATGCCCCCAAACAATGAGAACTTGAAGGATGAAAGGTGGGAGAGGTCAGGGAAAGAGCCCACCTTAAAGGCGGGACTTGAGATGAGGAATGCCCCCAAACAATGAGAACTTGAAGGATGAAAGGTGGGAGAGGTCAGGGAAAGACTTGAGAAAGGGAGGGGAGGAAGTGGCCATGGAGATAGGAGAGTGTCTCATCAGATCAAAGGTGAAGACAGAATGCCCCCAGAGGCCATGGGGAGGGGGAAACAGATCTTTTTTACTTCTTGGATCCCTTTTGTTCCTCCTCAAATCCAGAGGAAGAACAGCAAGCTCTCTCTCTTCCTCCTCCTGCCCCCCCCCACCCCGTCTCCCACCAGCATGAGGCTCCCTGACAGACCCAATTCCTGCTCATGCAACTTGTCCATCAATTTGAACATACATGGCATTTTTCCTCTCTCTCCCTGTTCCTCTGTCTGTCACCTTTCTGCATGGCCTCAGGAGAGTCACCTCCCCATCTCTGGACCGGGGTCTGCTAGTCTATAAAACCAGAAGTTTCAAATAAGTGATTTCTAAAAGTTCTCTCCTCTCCTAAGCCTGTTGCCACCTAGTGGACTCCAATTCATGGTCATTTCATGAGTGCCGGGCAAACAGTGGGCTCTGGAGTGTTTTCGTTGATTGGTTTCTCAGTAGATCAGCAGGACTTTAATCTTTTATCTTTTTATCCCCCTGAGTGGACTTAAGCCTCTACCTTTCTGGTCATGGACATTTTAGTCCACACAGGAACCCCTCCCTCCTGTCCTATCTGCTCACCTAGTCCTATTACTCCTTCATTTGACTGGATAATGATTTCCCATCTATTCAAGCAATGTAAGCTACTGAGCACTGTTCTTCTTTCTAAAGCTTTTAAAAAAGAAAATTTTTTTTCTAGAAAAGAAAACTTATGAATGCCCACTAGGTTCTAAATTTCATGAAAGACCTTCTTGATCATTGTTTATCCCCAAGCTTACTTAATATGTGGTGCATAATAAGTATTCAGTAAATATTTGTTGAATAATTGGATGGTTGGAAGAAATTGTCACCGTACAATTGAGCTGTGGGGAGTGATGGAATGCTGGGGAACTTGTTGCAGTTAGCTGGCCTTAAGAAAATCATGGCCAGCTTGACAATGACCCTTTTTCAGTTCAGACATTGGCAAGTGTATTATGAAATGAAAGAGGCTAAGAAACACTGATGTCACCATCTTAATTTTTATCCATTACCCCTCCCTTACCTAATCTACTGTCACCTTGTTCACTTATTCCGAAGAGACAGGTGAGCTGTCTGTATGTCAGGGGTGTGTAATTTTAGTCACCCCCTTCTAGAGGACATCTAGGGGTGGGGCTGGAGGGAGAGGAGGAAGATGAGGGCCTCGAGAGTCATAACAGGGGCCTCCACGTCTTCTGGGAAGAAGAAGGGAGGCCCTCCCTTAACAATGATACCTAGCATTTATTAAGCATTTACTCTGTGTCAAAAATTGATTCATAGCTGACCCTCCAACAGGTTTCCAGAGGCAATAAATCATGTGGAAGGAGACTACTCATCTTTCTCCCAAGGAGCAGCTAGTAGATTCGAACAATGTTCCTTTAGATTGGCAGCCCAACTCCTTACCACTAAGCCACCAGAGTTCCCTAGTGGAAGATAGCACTAATATTAGAACCCATCTTACTTTAATCTTTTATCTTTTTTATCCCCCCTGATTGGACTTAAGCCTCCAACTTTCTGGTCATGGACAGACATATTAGTCCCTACACCACACAGGAACCCTTCCCTCCTCTCATATCCGCTCACCTAGCCTATTACTCTTCCCTTAACTGGATAATGATTTCTCATCTATTCAAGCAACATAAACTACTGAGCACTGTTCTTCCTTCGAAAGCTTTTAAAAAAGAAAGGAAAAAGCTGAGACTCAGAGAAGTCAAACAACCTAAGTTTATAACAGACTGTAACAGACGGGTCAATGGCTTGAACACCATACACAGGCTTCAGAGTCTGAGCACTTGACTCCAACACACGGGACCAGACTTGCAGGACACATTGACCATCTCAGAGACTAAAGCTGGAAAATGCTTGGGAAGAGTTTGAAATTGCTTTCAGCATCCCAGTTCCCCTACCCCCACCTGTACATATTTTGGGGTCTTTCTCTCACTTACGAGACATTTTCAACTTGGCAAAATGGATTTGGAACCAAACCAGGAGAAGGGAGAGTTCTGTAAATATCAGTGACATCTGTAGTATGTCCTTCATGACTTGATCTTGTTCTCATTATGATGTGCTCTCTCGGGCTGCTGCCACACAGTTTGTGTGTTTTGTCAGTGTGTCTAGGGCCTCTGTGCTGTTGATGCCTTCATGTCAATAACAGGCCGTTACCATTCCTTCTAAAGCAGTTCTTCCAGCTCAGTGTAGGCGACACAGCTGCAACTTGGGGCCCTTTTTAATGGAGACCTCAATCACATACTCAAGTAGCTGTCACATCTTGTCTCGACCAGGAAGAGATGAGGTGGTGGCTTTCTCTACAAAGTTGTTTTAAGAAGCCCTGCACTTAATCTCACAGTTCTTCCATTGTGAGGGTAGTCTGACCTTGTTACTTTATAGGGAATTCTGGAGGCCTAGTCCCTAGGGAGTTGCCCTCCTAATTCAAAGGTGGTAGCTTTCTGGCAGTTCATACCCACCATTGGCTCTGTGGAAGGAAGATGGGCAATCTCCTCTTGTGTAATTTACAACTTGGAAACCCTCTGGAGGGTCAGCTGTGAGTTAATTCTGATTCCATGGCCACGAGTTTGAGTTTTGTTACTTTATGGTGACACTATCTATGTCTTTGACTAAATAGTACAACGCCTCTGATAATGCATTAACTTTCTCACCAGACTTTGCTTCCAGGCACCGTGGGCCATCGCCATACTCTCGAATGTTCTTGAAGGATGAAAAGCTATCTTCACTGAGGTTAAGGTCTCCCACTGCTCCGGGCTGCATTTTACAAAGAATTTGAAGAATGAGCGGTGGTGGGTGGAGGAATGAGTCTACAGCTCCCGTGGAGGGCACTAGGTATTTGGATGTGTAAGTTCTGAGTTTTTATTTTTAAAGCAGCCCTTGCTTTATAGGCACACGTAACTCATAGGAATGAAGTTTCATAACTAGTACCTTCAGCCAGCACTAGTGGAGGGGGAAGTCGAGCAGTAGCTGAGGCTTTTCTAGAAAACACCTCTTCTGTGTGTAAAACAAAATCGGAGACTGAATTGAGGCTGAAGCTGCATCATCTTGGTCACTTCCTCTGCTTTGAACCAGCTGTTCCTGTCTTAATTTCCTGTCTTGACCAGGAAGGGAGACCTCACCATCTGTACACATCACAGTTTTTGCTAAGTTACACCTTCATCACCCCCCAACACACGTCCCTCCCTCTTATACAACCAGGGGCTCTTGGGGTCTGTATCCTTAACCACCACCGCCTGCACCTCCATAACCCCATCAACATCTCCTCCTAAGGATCCTGGGCTCCTCCTTTGGTTTGATACTGGCAGGACACTGAGGAGAAGCAGCCAAAGAGGAAAAAGGAGGAGCAGAAAGAAAAGGAAGAAGAGGAGGAGGAAACAAAACCCAGATAGATAGTGGCAGTGAAGTAGGGGTGGGATGTGAGAACAGGCAGGGAAGACAACAGACAGTGGGCACTGGAGTCATGAGCTCTCCCTCTCACAGCTAGGGGCCGGGCCCTACTCTCGCAGAGTGGCCATGTCCGAAGGGGAGAGCAAGGACAGCTCAGGCAGCGAGTGCCCCGTGTGCTACGAGAAGTTCCGGGACCTGGAAGGCGCCAGCCGGACCCTGAGCTGCGGCCACGTCTTCTGCCATGACTGCCTCGTCAAATACCTGCTGTCCACGCGCGTGGACGGCCAGGTGCAGAGGACCATAGTCTGCCCCATCTGCCGCTACGTCACCTTCCTCAGCAAGAAGAGCTCCCGCTGGCCCTCCATGCTAGACAAGAGCTCCCAGACCCTGGCCGTGCCTGTAGGCCTGCCCTCTGTGCCACCGTCTGACACCCTGGGCCACACGAATCCCCTGGCTATCCCCCAGCCTGTCTGGAGACCATCGTCCAGCAGCCCGAGCCCAGGTGCCCAGCTCCCCTTGGACCTGCTGCCCAGCCTGCCCCAGGAGCCCCAGATCTTCGTCATCAGTCGTCATGGCATGCCCCTGGGGGACCAGGACAGCGTCCTGCCGCGCCGCAGCCTGGCTGAGCTCTCAGAGGCCTCGCCAGCGCCCACCTCCACTCACTCGTTCTGCTGCAGGTCGCGGGCCCTGCTGCTCATCACCCTCATCGCCGTGGTGGCGGTCGTGGCTGCCATCTTGCCCTGGGTCCTGCTGGTAAGGAAGCAACCATGAGCAACGGGACCTCAAGTGACAGCAGAGGGAGGTGCAGGCTGAGAGCTGCCCAGTAGGCCACCCTGCCCTACACTGTCCAGCCAGCCATGGCCATGGAAGGGGCAGAGGCCCCGGGGACACAGGCAGAGGAGGACCTGGGCAGAGAAGGATGGTGCAGGAGTGGAAGTGTGGTGACCTGCTTTCCATCCTCGCCCCCAGTGGGAGAAGTTGGGCTTTGGTAACCTCTGAGGCCAGATCTGAGCTGAGGAATTGAAATGTAAACCTCAGGTGCTCACTAAAGGAGAAAATGTAGGGATAAAACCCTTCCTCCAAACCCATAGCTGAGGCCCCATGCGTGTCCCCAGCAGATTCTTCTTTCCTCTAGTCTGGCCTTAAGCAGGACACGGTAAAATCGGTGATTCCCATCTTCCTGTGGGCTCCCCTGTCCTAAGGTAAAGACTTTACCTGCCAGGAGACATCCTGGAAGCCACGGGCAGGTGGGCCACCCTGGAGATAAGGAAACTCCACTTCAATACAGGACTCTTCCAGAATTCTCTAACGTGCTCTCTGGAATAAACAGAAGGGTGGCATAGAGGTCCAGAACACAAGGAGGTTTTGGAATCCCTGCAACATCTACCAACCTCCTGGGAGGCTCTCCTTCTTACCTTCAAGTCCTTCTCACAGCCTCCAGCTGATGAGGCTGGAAGATCTTCCTTGAAGGAGAAGCTGATTTTGGAGGCTGTGGCCGGGGATTTCAGGGGGAAAGAATGTAGAAGGGTCATTCTGGGATCCAAGGTTATATAAGAAAACAGAGACATGTTGATCTAAGCTAAGGTTGACCATATGGTCCACAGAGGGAGCCAGATGTCTCCCAAGCCCTTGAGCCAAGGAGGGTTCACCATTTTGAATCTTGGAGTTCTCTGGGGATGACCTGGAAGGTAGGGAGTGGAGACCTGAGACTTGAGTCAGCAGAGAACTATGTGTACACATTAACCCCTGATGTCTCCTGCCTCCTTCCCAGCCCAAGTCCTCCTCCTTGTGACCCAACCACCCATTAGAGGTCACACCCGCTGGACCAGTTTCTGAGGTGGATTCCCAGGCTGGGCTGGGTGAGGAAGGGTGGAGAGGAAAACAGATGTGCTTGTCAGGGACACTGCTATTTCAGTGAGTGCTGAAGCCCAGGTGCTGTTTGTTGCTTGCTGAGGCCTCACCCTGGATTTTGTTGGGGTTCTTGAAGCAGACTACCAGGAAAGCTTCAGACTGGGTCTTGCCTGAAGAGTGAGTCATTCAGGAACAGCTACTCGTTTTTTGAGGCCTAGAAATCAACCCCAAAGATTAAAAACTATTCTCTCAGTAGGTGTTTGTTCATGGCTTACCCCAGGTAGGCCAATGGCTGATGCCCCACCACTTAGAATTCTTTCTGAATAGCTGGCTCTGTGTGGGGAAAGGATCCATGCACTGTCCCTTATTCAGTTCCCAAATGCTGGGCGATTGTGGCGATGCTATTTGTCATTGCTTCCCACTCATAGTGACCCATGTGTGCTGGTCTTTTGGAAACCATTATTATTGTTATGGAATTGACTCATAGTTGACCCTCCAGCTGGTTTTCAGAGGCTGTAACTTGTATGGGAGGAGATTGCCCATCTTTCTCTGGTGGATTCAAACCCCATATTTTTAGGTTGATAATGCAGTTCCTTACCACTAGGCCAGACTATTAGACAGTGGAGTCCCCGTACAGGAGCAGTGTGGACCAGTGATGACTGATAATGGACTTCTTTGTGCTCTTCACAAGGCTGAAAAAGAGGAGAGTGAACTGGGGGGAAAGGGGACCCAAATGGATTCTACAGGGGGAAATAAAATTACTATAGGAATTTTGGAATGTCAATTTTCTAAAACTCCAAATGAGTGTCTGTTTTAACCTCAAACTGCCTTAAACAGTGTCATGAATTTCTAGAGACCTGATTTTAGTCTTTTCCATTATGTTGTATATACCATACACTTATTTAAAAATACTTGTGGTATTTTCATATTGTTCAGCAGTGACTTACAGATGGCACTTCTTTAATTTTCTGAGAATGTCAGAGTTATTTTTTAAATAAAGTTATATATTTTCTCAGTTTCCAGAGTTTGCAATGTATGTGAGAAGCTCTTAGTTTGCCCTTACCAGTCTATTTTAGATGAAAAATATAGTTCAAAAATGAAAACAGAAATGACTCTTAAGCATTTATTGTCACATTTATGAAAGAAAGAAAAATTTAAGTTATGTTGGTATATAATTTTACTCTGATCAGATTGCCAAATTCTATTGACAAGCTAGTTGCTGGTGGACAACACATTGGAAAAACCCCTATGAAGGAGAATTTGACAATATCTATATAAATTTCTACGTTGATCCAGCAATTTATATCCTTATCTTAGGAAGTATTAATTTATTTCTTAATTATTCTTGCATATATGAGCAGTGACATTATTACTGTTGTTATGGGCCATAAAGTCACCTGAGACTCATAGTGACCCTGTGTACAACGGCCCTGAAGCCTAACCTATCCTGAGCCAGTGTCACTGACTCCAACACACCTAACCCCACTGCCCCAGTGACTGTATCAATCCATCTATCTGGAATCTTCCTCTCCTGCGCTGTCCCTCCACCCTTCTCAGCATGATGTCCTTCTCCAAGGACTGGTTCTTCCTGGCCAGGAGCCCAGAGTATGTGAGACTGAGCTTCAAAATTCTAGCCTCCAAGGAGAAACATGTTTTTATCTGCTCCAAGACTGACTTGTTTTCTTGGAGGCCCATGGTATGTTCAAGACTCTTGATTGCTGAGCCCAATAGTGAGAATTTTTGTTTTCTTGATGTTGAGCTTCAATCCATATTGAAGACTACAATACTTGACCTTCTCTGCAGCAAGCGCTTCAGGTCCTTCCCAGTTTAACAAGCAAGGTTGTCACCTGCATAAGGCAGGTTGTGGATGAGTCTTCCTCCAATCCAGATGCCACATTCCTCCTCAGAAAGCCCAGCCTCCCAAACGATCTGCTTTGCACATAGATTGAAAAGGTATGGAGACAGAACATATCCCTGACACACTCTTTTCCTGATTTTGAATCTTGCAGTATTTCCTTCCTTTGTACTGAGAACTGCTTCCTGGTTTTAATATAGGCTTCACATGAGCACAATCAAGTGTTTTGGGATTCCCATTCTCAAGGTTAGCCACAATTTGTTGTGATTCACACAAATACCTTTGCATAGTCAAAAAAACACAGATCAACATTCTGCTACTCTCTGCTTTCTGTCAAAATCCATCTGACATTGATGATAATATCTCTAGAGCCACAACCACTTCTAAACCCAGTTTGTATTTCTGGTACTTTTCTGTCAAGTTACTGTTCCAATCATTTTTGGATAATCTTCAGCAGGATTTTGCTTACATATGATATTAGTAATACTGATAATTTCCACATTCTGTTGGGTCACCTTTTTTTGGGAATGGGAATAAGATGGATCTCTTCCAGTCAGTTGGCCACGGAGCTGTCCTCCAGATTTCTTGGCACAACCTGGTGAGCAGGGCAGCATCTACTTGTTGAAATATGTCAATTGATATTCCATCAATTCCTGGGGCCTTATTTTTTGTTAAATACTTCAGAGCCACTTGAACTTCCTCCATCACCATTGGCTCTTGACCATATGTTGTTTCATGAAATTCTTCTGTGTTAGCCAAGTCTTTTTGTATACTTCTTCCATCTTCTTTTAATGCTTTCTGGATCATTCGATATCTGCCCATAGCAACCTTAACTATTTCAGCTCATGGCTTGAATTTGTTCCTTAGTTCCTTTAGCTTAAGAAATGCTGAGAGAGTTTGGCACTTTTGATTTTCTGACTCCAGCTCCCTGCACAATTCTTTATAATACTTCGCTCTGTCTTCCTGTGCTGCCATTTGAAATCTTCTGTTCAGGTCCTTAACTTCTTGATTTCTTTCCTTTGCTTTGGCTTCTCAGCTCTCTTGTGCAATTCTCAGAGCCTTATCTGACATCCATTTTGGTCTTCTTCCTCTGTCTTTGTAATGACCTTTTGCATTCTTCATGGATGATAATATGGATATCCTTCCACAACTCATCTGGTCTTCTTTTACTAGTGTTCAAAGCCTCAACCTGTTCCTAAGTTGGTTTTTAAATTCAGCTGGGATAGATTCAAGATAGAATTTTGATTCCTGTGGATTGATTTTATCTTGTTTAGCTTTAATTTGAACTTGCATATAAGTAGTTGATGGTCTGTTCCACAATGAGCACTTGGCCACTTGGCCAAGTTTTCCTTTCACAGATATAATTGATCTGATTCCTGTGCACATCATCAGGTGAAATCCATGTGTATAGCCTGTGTTTATGTTTCTTATAAAAGGTATTTGCAATTAATAAATCATTGTGTACAATTCTGTCATTCTATCCCCAGCTTCATTTTTGTCACAAAGTCCATGTTTTCTGACTATTGATCTGTCTTTCTGGTTCCCAACTTTTGCATTCCAGTCACCCATTACTATTATTATTATTAATGCATCTTAATGTTACATAATTATAGCCGTATTTGTAATACTAAAAGATTGAAAAAACCTTAAACAAAATCAGTAGGCACAGACTACATGCACTGGTTGCCTAGTGCTAAGAAGCTGCACTACAATACCAATGGGACATGGCTGGAGACCACTAGCTGCCCTGTAGGAGAAGGATGGGCAATCTCCTCCTGCGATCCACTGCCTCTGAAAACCCAGTGGAGGGTCAGCTACAGATTGGTTGCAACTCAATCATTCACTACCACCACCACAACATATGAACTGGCAGGGAAAGATCTCCAAGTTAGAAATTATTTTAAGGGCATGCTAGTTTGATCAACATGACCAGCATTGTGATGGATTTTCTCTTGGGTATTAACATTTCAGTATTTTTTGTAGTATAGTGAATTGTTTTAGTAGGGTCAAGAATGTTACAGAAATAAAGATCTTAGGTCAAAATTAGTGCTAATAATTCTGGTGT